TACTTCTTGTGCATCAGAACTTAGACTTACAAGATGCCATTTTCATTAAGCAAATACACCTGAATAATGTTAATATGGGGAATAAAATGTAAATATCACATGTCAGCACATTTACATATTTAGGAACAGGTCATTTAATGTACTGAGGTATTTTTTGTTGCACATGCGTTTTTACGTATTATCAAAAATTAACATTTTTTATGTAAAATCTCCAGTTTAAATTATTTTATATTAGTAAACTTTTATTATAAGTGTACAAAATTCTTCTGTTTGATATTATTGAAGAATGAGCTAGAGATTCACTAAAATAACATGCTGTGAAGTTTTTTTTTTGTCAGAGTTATATTATTATTACAAAATTATATCACCTTCTATAATGATCTACTCATATTAGGGAAATAACATCATAAATATTGCAATAATCAAATTCCAGGAAATACCTTTTGCACAAAGGATTTGTAAATGTATCAAAGGGAATTCAAATATAAGTTTCATGATATCTAACATTTCAAATCATTTATGTAGCTAAAAACTTTTGTCTGTAAATACACAATTTATGTTTTTATGTTTGATAATATTCAAGATCTGTTCTGAATGTCCTTAACAAATAGTTCATGTGTCTAGAAGAAAAAGCATACATGAAAACAGGATGGTCATGCAGCCAAGATGATAAAGTTATCAGCCTATAAAGTCTGACAGACCTTGATATGCCCAACTTTTAACTTCAATTTGCATGTGAAAATTCAATATCTCGACATTGCAAATCTTTGTTCGAAACTAAGGAACAAAGATTAGTAACAAAATTAAATCTTACAATTATTAATCTTCTGATAGATGTTCATCATTTATTAGAAGTTCTGGAACAAACTGAGGTCATATCCATGTAATATAAAATAATTATTTATAGCATTTCATGTTACATGGATGAAATATAAAGTAAAAAAACAAATATAAAGTCTCAATAGGAAGGACAGCTGAAATGAAAATAGTATTTCATTTCCTATGTCTCATATCTTATATTACCACCCAAATGCCCTGATTAATTATGCAAAAGGTTAATATGCAAATCTAATTTGATTTGTATATTAACCTTTCAGCAGTGAGTTAGTCAGGTATGGTACTATCCATATGTAGTGGTGAATAAACATGGGAAATTTTTTAAGTATTTTCCCACGTGTTTTCTCTCATTACCATTTCGAAAAAAGATTTTGTAAACAGTTATGTCTAGTAAAGAAAAGTCTTTTTTAATTGTTACATAATTCCTTTTTTTATGTGAATTTNTTCTGTTTGATATTATTGAAGGATGAGCTAGAAATTCACTAAAATAACATGCTGTGAGGTTTTTTTTTTGGTCAGAGTTATATTATTATTACAAAATTATATCACTTTCTATAATGATCTACTCATATTAGGGAAATAACATCATAAATATTGCAATAATCAAATTCCAGGAAATACCTTTTGCACAAAGGATTTGTAAATGTATCAAAGGGAATTCAAATATAAGTTTCATGATATCTAACATTTCAAATCATTTATGTAGCTAAAAACTTTTGTCTGTAAATACACAATTTATGTTTTTATGTTTGATAATATTCAAGATCTGTTCTGAATGTCCTTAACAAATAGTTCATGTGTCTAGAAGAAAAAGCATACATGAAAACAGGATGGTCATGCAGCCAAGATGATAAAGTTATCAGCCTATAAAGTCTGACAGACCTTGATATGCCCAACTTTTAACTTCAATTTGCATGTGAAAATTCAATATCTCGACATTGCAAATCTTTGTTCGAAACTAAGGAACAAAGATTAGTAACAAAATTAAATCTTACAATTATTAATCTTCTGATAGATGTTCATCATTTATTAGAAGTTCTGGAACAAACTGAGGTCATATCCATGTAATATAAAATAATTATTTATAGCATTTCATGTTACATGGATGAAATATAAAGTAAAAAAACAAATATAAAGTCTCAATAGGAAGGACAGCTGAAATGAAAATAGTATTTCATTTCCTATGTCTCATATCTTATATTACCACCCAAATGCCCTGATTAATTATGCAAAAGGTTAATATGCAAATCTAATTTGATTTGTATATTAACCTTTCAGCAGTGAGTTAGTCAGGTATGGTACTATCCATATGTAGTGGTGAATAAACATGGGAAATTTTTTAAGTATTTTCCCACGTGTTTTCTCTCATTACCATTTCGAAAAAAGATTTTGTAAACAGTTATGTCTAGTAAAGAAAAGTCTTTTTTAATTGTTACATAATTCCTTTTTTTATGTGAATTTTTTCCACGGTAATTTCTGGCGATATCCGCAAAAGAATTTTGCGGATATATCTGTCATTCACCACTGCCACACGATTACCCTTGACGGATATATCCATTGGTCACTGCTGAGTGGTTAAAATTCTATTTCAATATACAAATTTTTGCATATTAAAATAGAAAATAAAATAGGATTTTCACATTATCATCTTCTGTAAAAGAATCCATAATCTTATTTAAAATATACACTAATTTAATTTATAAATATATACTGTATTTTCGGAGAATTACTGGCATGCCGATCTATTTGGGAAAGACCATGAAAACCAGATATTTCCATTTTTCATATGGTAAAAGCTGGCATGTCTGTTTATCGTGGGGAATGCCTGCATGCTGGTTTAAGTGAGGCTACACATCCCTCTGTAGAGGGTGCATTAAAAAAACAAACGAGTTTTAATCTAAAACTATCAAACTGTTAGCACTACATCAAAAACTACAATTATAGATTTAATTTCTTCATTTGTCTTCTTTCTAACAATGTAAAATACATGTGGAATTCCGAAAGTGCTGTTTTTAATGTGTATTTTATTGTTATTTGATTCAAAAAAAAAATGCAAAAATAAACATATGAAATTTAAGAAATTCACTGTAAATCATCTCAACTTACACCAACTAACATTGGCTTTGTGTGAAATTTGAGAGGAAGGTGTTATTTTTAAGGTCAGGGTATATGGTCAGTGTAGCCCACACTGACTAACTATTAATGACAATAACTCACTGTTTTAATTTTTGTCTTGTAAATGAAAACTCTCTTTCTGATTTTAAGTCAGTCAAAGTACAATGTTATTATTTTATTGAACTGGGAAGAATGCATTCTTTAATGTTTAATTAAACTATTAGTTTTATTATATCTGATTATATTTTGGTTGCAGTTTAACTGGCATGACAGAAACCCCAATGCTGGTCTTCCATTTTTATGAGACATGCCAGTCATTCTGCAAAAATATGGTGTATATATATTAAAATTATAAAATCAAGCTTTACTTGTTCTTGATTGTAAATTTTTTCCCCTTTCAAACAAAAAGAAACAAAAGTATATGCTGGATTTTGTGTAATGGATTCAAGAAAAATCAATATCCAGAGTATTTTTACTTTTTTGGCTGTTATAAATATGAAAGAAAAGTAAGGTAATCAAATTTTGACCCCTTACATTTTTTTGCATTTTGACACACTGAGGGGAAAAAAACCCCTTACAAAATGATTGGGGACATTTAGTCTGCATTTTATCTGAAGACTGGAAAACCTAAGATTTTGAAACTTGGCAGGGTTTTTTTCTATATGTTATTAAATTTTGATGGTTAAAAGTCAAGAGGATGAGGAGATAAAAGGGATTGTTTGTTGTATCTGGAGCATGGTCAAACTTCAATCAAAACATTACTTGTTATTGGCATCCACAATTTTTTTTAAAACTCATCTTACCCACAAAAAAAAGCATTTGCCTTTTTATAACAATTAATAACACAAAAATTATTTTTTAACAGTTCCATAATAGGTGGTGCCATACACAATTTTAACTTTCAGCTAGTGTTAGTACTAAGTTTAAATTTTTCTTTTAAATGGAAATTAATATAATTGAAAATTATCAGACTTTCTGCTCCCCTTAATCTCATTTCTTGATTGTCAGGAAAGTCTATCAAGAGCCTTGCCAGCTTTTTAATTATTTAATAGTTCAGTTAAATTTAAATGGTTATAGTTATGTATTTCTGAGACTGTGTCTTCCTTTATTTGTTTCTTCACTACTTGGTGCATAAATAGACAAGGCATTTTACATCATCTTTATTGATCTTCTATTGGCCAATTCACGTTTCGGGCAAGGCCCTTCATCCATTGGCATTACATCCAGAATCTTCTTTAAATGAATTAAATTCCAGATGTAATGCTGACGGATGAGAGGTCTTCCCAAAACACGTACTGGCCAATAGAAGATCAATAAAGATGATGCAAAATGCCTTGTGTCTATTTATGCACCCAGTAGTGAAGAAACAAATAAATTTAAATGATTAAAATCATCAATTTTTCAGTATCATGTTACATACACTTAAAGACTCAAGACTAATATTCATAAGAGTAACTAGGCTAAAGTCAAGGAGCCCTGTAGGTACTAAGGACAATTATCCATAAATTATAAATTTTTTAAATGAATAATAACTTTATACAACTTCAAAATATTACAGTATTGAACAATTATATCCCCAAACTGTGTGTTTCAGAAGTCTTCTACTTATGGAATAAAAATATAAATAAATTGTGAATGGAATTCTTCAGGAAAATTTCCAAAATAAACATAGAACTATGTATTGCAGTCTAGTACCAATCATACCAGCATCAGGAGTCAGCTGTAGTGGTTGAAAGATAAAAGTGCCAGAGGGGCTAGAAATACTGAAATCCTAGAGATCTAGCCATGGGTTAATAGAGCCTCATGCAGAGTAAGTAAATAGTAATTTACTTCATAATGTAAATATTATTTTTAAATTTTCTTTTAATAGAAAAGAAAATAGTTAAGAAAAAAAATAATCAAGTAGCAATAATTAGCCAAGAAGAAAGAAGATAGATCATAAATCTGATGATACATGAACCTTTTATGAAGAATCTATTAATATGAAAAGTTGAGAAACTGGAAGAAACATCTCAACATGCATCACTACTCAATAAAATTTTGTTGTGTTTTACCTAAATGCTTTTATCATTTAATATATTTTAAATAACAGTATACTCAGCATTTAATCATCAATTATGGTTGTGCTTAAAAGCCAAAATTGCTTTGTTTAATTTTACACACCTTTCTTTATTACGTCCTAACAGCCACTCAGCAACACCTAAATAATAAACTGTCTGAGCAATTCCAAATAAAGGAGCAATAACTATCATTCGACAGCCAGCACCTTTGAAAAAAGCAGTTGTACCTTCTAGTTGCCAAATTTTCCTATTTAAATTAAAGTAAAAAAAAACAATCAAATTATTAAGTTCCATAAACCTTAATTAAAAGACAATTTTACTTTTAATATTAAACAAACCTGAATGCATCAGGGATACCATTGTATGTTATCTCTCCTCTTCCTTTTTTCAGTACTTGTAATCTAGTTTTCACTACTGAATAAGATAAAAATCTCAAATATTAATTTGAAAATATTCAACATTGCATTAAAGATTTTAAATAACTAGATATTGGATTTACCATCAAAAGGATTTACAGCAAAAGCTGCTGTTGAACCAGCTGCACATCCCGCAAGAAATGATACCCAAAAGACAGATTCACCTGTTCCGTCTTGTCTACGTGGACCCAAAGAATTCAGATGTGCAAAAAGAGGAAAATAAACAACAGAGAAATTGACATCTCTAAGCATTGTTGCTGCAGTGCCTCTGTACAGGCCTAAAATTCCACGGGTTTTTACTAGATTTAACGCTATTGCTGTTGCAGATGTTGCCAACACTGTTTCACCTTCTGCTGCTCCTTTGGCTGCTACAAATAGTTTAAAATATAATAATAAGATATATTTAATTATATAGTTGTTCAAAAACAAATTTAAATGTTTTATATTAACTAACAAGAAAAAAAAACAGTTTGTTGGCTATTAGTATTTTTATCACTCATTAATTTTGTAATTATTCATAAATATATAAATAATTATCTTAAAATAAACATTCATATTAAACACAGACTTTAATGATGCAGGAGATACTGCTAATTTGGTTGGTCCCTATTCTGAAGATATAAAATCTGAAGGTTATAAAGTATGTTAAACAGCTGATCATATTCTTCTATAATGCTTGTCACATGTAGTGTGCAGGGTTTAAGCTGTTACTAGTTTTTTTTTGCTAAAATGCTACAAGAATTTAGATTTAGCAACAATTTTCTTGGCACATTTTGCTAAAATTCTGATGTTTTAACCACTTGTTTTAACTAATGATGGGACGACACCAAAATTTCTCTCCATTCCAATTCTTTTGAATACTTTCTAAAGTTTATTTTGGTTTAGAAAAATTAATGATTTACATTACGAGCACAATACATTAATTAATTAACAAACATCAAGCTTCATAATGGAAAATGATCAGAAAATCCCAAATCAATCTTTTGAAAGAAACCCAAAAATTCTTCATTTATATGCAGATATGCATGCTTTTATTGTGTAGCAGAAAATAAATTTGTAATCTTACTGCAGATGAAGTTAATATTGCAACATTACCACCAAATAAATTATGGCTAATTCCCTTTTACTAAAAGAAAACTATCCCATCATGTGATCTAAAGTCTGAAATCTGTTTTGTTGGCCGACAGAATGACCAGGGGAGAGGGAAGGTAATAAGATTATGCACTTCTTTTTAATGCTTCTCACAATTGACATGCCTCCTAAATGCTGTAATTCCATCGTATTTAACACTAAATGAGGTTTGGCAAATGATGCAACGAGCCAAACAAATATCATCATCATCACAAGTTAACCAAGTTTTGAATTCATTCATTCAAAGCCAGGTTTTTCTAAATGTACAATTTCATGTACTTATTTGAGGAAAAGAAAAATCAAACGAATGCCTAAATTGATTTATCTTGAAAAATCAATTTTTAAAACTCAAAATGGCAGTAAATTTAGAGCAAACAATTACTTTTATTTAAAATCCGGCAAAATGCATTATAGCAACATTTGTGAATTATAACAAACTGTAAAAACAACAAAAAACAAATAAACTTTAATAGTTAATTATAATGGGAAAGTCATTTTATCATTAAAAAACACTTCTGTATAAGCTGAAACTAATTTAGCTTGAACAACACCTTAAATACTTTTTCAGCAACACTTTTAATTTCTATAAAAGAACATTTTTTGACTCTTTTCACATGTCTGTGTCAGGTTTAAGAAAAAGATTTGAACAATTTTCTTAAACAGTGTGAATCTTCTTGTTAAACCTGATGCAGACCTGTGAAAAGGATCAAAAAGTTTTGTTTAAACAAATGGAAGTGTTGCAGAAAAAGTATTTAAGATGTTATTTATGCATTTTATCATTAAGTAAACATACTAAATATTAAAAATAATTTTATATAATTTTTTAAATTAAAATATAATTTTGTTTATAGTTTAAACTGTTTTGCTGAAACTTAAATATGTTTGTCAACTGCCAATTTGATTTAAAATTGCTGGCCAAACTGACCCAATACTTGGCATGTGGCAACACTAATATTACCCTATCTCTCCTAAAATGGGAAGTTAGTACCAACCAATTGCCACACCAACTACGTGAGAAAGTCCACCTTGACAGACATCATCTTGTGTATGGGGCATCACGTATTCTCTGCTTTGTGGACACAAAGTTTCCAATAAACAAATACTTATTTGTTAATATAGTTATTTTAAAAAACACAATTTCTGATGAAGTGGGATTTGTTGCTATCAGATGTAAGAATATATGTCATCAACTAAAGTCTATAAAATGATAGTTGTAAATGACCTCGTAGATTACACTCATATCAACAATTATTGAGTTTCTTTCACACACAGTGCCCACTGTTGATTGTGAAGAGTTTCAGTGAGATGACATCAAGACAATTGGAGTTTTTGTTAATGTAAAAAAATATCAGCAACTTGTTAAATATCTCTATAAATGCTCCCAAGAGGAGCATTTGATTTTCATTCAGCATTTGTTGCCTAGTGTGAATCAAAACCAAGAAGAATTGTTCAATAATGTATGATACTTGTGGATTGTAACAATAGAATTATTGTTATATTGGTAGTGCATTACACTGAAATAATATACAGTATCTGAGGGAACGAACAAATGTTTAAACAATAATGTATTTGTATTGTTCTGGACAGCCTCAATGTTAGCTACAATTTCTAAAATTTTGCTACATCTTATTTAGTAAAATTAGCTAAAATGCTACAGAAAATTTTTTCTCAGCTTAAACCCTGAGTGTGATACTGTCTTTCAAGGCTTTCAGATTTGTAACATGTTCATGATAAATCAAACTTTGTGTCTCCACAACCAAAAATCATATGGATTAAGATCCAGAGAAATAGGTAGCCATATGGTAAAAAACACATGATCAATTTGCTCTGTTATCAGTGAAATGATGTTGCAGAAACTGCTGTACACAGCATCCAATATGTGGAGGAATTCTGTTTGCATGAAAGTGACAATGCCTTGAATCATAACTGTTGCTGTTAGGATACAAGTGTTGAGCATTAGTTGGTATCTCTGGACCATAACAGAGCATATCACAGGCCCCTTGGGACTAGCTTCTTAGAACAAAAATAGTCCAAGGATGAAAAATGTGTGAAGCCACATCAAACTAACATTAGACAAGTGAAGTGATATTTACTGGAAAAGAGTTTCCTTGGACCAATTGCAACAGTTGTTCACTGTTCCATTTGACATGGAAATTTTCCTCATTACTCCACAAGATTTTGCATGGCCAAAACACATCCATTTTGGCAAAAGTTCAATGAAAAGGTCAGGTGGGCTTCCATGTTGGTGGCAACTGTCATTATGGGTGATCACCCATAATGACAGTTGCCACCAACATAGAAGCCACCAAATATAAATATTGATAAGAATGATCCAATTTTTTCAGTACCTTCCATACTGTGCCAGAGGAAGTACACAATTGTCATAATACTGCTTCATGTACACTATTGTAGCCAACAATATTATTCTTTGACTGTCTAACAATACTTATGGAAGTATCTCCAATGAAGTGATAGGTTTGCACCTTTGACCAGGTTGAACTCTCAGATATTCAGTTTCTTTGAATTGAGATCTCATTTTCCTACAAGTTTCTATGTCAATAGTCCTCAGCAAAGATTCTTACAACAGCAAAATTTCTGAAGTACATCTGCAGCATTGCTATTTTGTCTTAAAACAGCTTCATAAGAAATGGTGATGGTCATTGTAGCTGATGGGAATGACATCCAATAGTTGTTACTTTTATACCCAGAACTAGGTATGCTGAAACACACGTGCTTATGCAATGAAAAACTCTTTCATTGCTTGCAGTGGCAAAAGTGCCATAATGGTAAATCTTGTTACTATCTTTCTTTTTTATAAAAATTTCTTCCACATGTCCTGAAATTTCACAATGCCATATTTGTTTGCATTTGAACTGCTAAATAGCTCTCTAGATAGCATTGAATAGAATCTTATTTATCACTTGGAAAGGCACTCAAACTTCACTGTCATATGGCCTTTGATAATGCACATCTCTTACAAAGCATGTCTGTTCTCACTCAACTCAAATCAAGTATCTTGAAAATCTTGAAATTTACAGTGTGACTAAGAAAGGTTTCACCATTAATTTTAAGTACATCAAAATAAATCACATCTACAGTATCACACACATAGAAGACTATTTATGAACATTTATAGTCTTATTTATATTTTTTAGTTATTTTTATTTTGGTTTTTCTTTTTATATTTGTATTTCTACCTTTCATATGTACTTTATTTAATCCCTGTTATATTGTTTTGTATTTCATTTAGAGATTTCATATTGTTTTCCTTCAACGTTCTTTTACACATGTGACCACCAGCACATGTTTAACGAGTTCTATTTTATTTAAATTTTGTTTTTTGAATTTTATTCTAATGTCAGGTTATGGAATTATTCTAATTCCATAACCTGAATATGGAAAGGCACTCAAACTTGCTGTTAAAAGCACTTGAAAATTGCATGTATAAGGTGGTGATCTACTTTGATGTCAAGGAGGCCTTACATGATTGCTGGTCCTTCTGAGAAACACCTCAGCTCTCCTGTCATTTATTTTCAGCTGAACTCATTTCACATTACCCCAAGCTTTCACAAAATTTGAAAGGCTCCCTATAGGAAAAGAGTCAAGGACATTATTCTTAAACAATATCTTGTAAACTAAATGAAGTTAAAATTCTGCATGTGGAAAGAAGACACATCACAGGATTATTCAGAATTGTTAAATTCAAAGAACAGCAATTACAGTGCAGCATAATTAAACATAAAAATTAGTGAAAAAATAACAACCTTGTTTAAGTACATGTTTAAAAATTAAGTGCATGTAATTATAATTAGTCATAATATAGCCAAATAAAAATCCAACAGATTGTTTGGAATTACAATATGATTATTCTTCAATATTAGTTTACTGAATCAGAATTCAGTATCATCATAACAAAACTTACTATATTATGAAATTATTACAAAAGTTTGCTTCTAGCCCTTGGTATAATTAATATAATTACTATATTATGTTATGGCAACCTGTAAATTCAATCTGTTTTCTGCAAGATTTAATGTTTGTCAGTATTCCAAATTCTTTCTTGACAATACTTTCTTTTAATTTTCTTTTCTATTCCTTTAATCAATTCAACTTTTAAAGCAAAAGATAAAACCTATCTATGTTCTACATTAGATGTCACGAAAATGAGATATAGATAATGGAGATTTGTTCAATATTTGTTTAGGTAGTGAACAAATCTCCACTATCTAGACGTGTCACTAAAACTGAAACACAGTGATCTTGCCTACAAACTCTAAATTTATACAAAAAATAAGTTGAACAAACTAAATTGTTTAACACTAATTTAGATACATATTTCAAGAGAATTAATGCAGAATTTGAATTCATTACACTCAACTTCATTTACTGTTTATCAAATTTTTAAAATTTTGTTCCTTATTCTCTTATATGTCAATTTTAACATAAAGTTATTTCCTTATATAAGATTAATTTTATGCAAAAATTGTCACAATACATTCATCTTTGTGCATGTTACAAAATAACAAAACATTTACACATAATTATAATTATTAATTTATAAAATATTTTCAGTAAATTTTATACTAAAACATCTAACTAAAACAAATACATTGCAAAGTTACTTTTATCAATTACTACAAAATTAGATATTTTATGAAACCTTAATATTGTAATAATAAGATTTGATAAACTTAATTACCTATTCTTCCAGCATCCTGCAACTGAATTTTTAATAGTTCCATAGGAGTTGTAACAACAATTTGACAAAATCCTGCAGATCCACCTGCAATCATTTCTCTTGCCAAAGTCAGTTTTCTGTTTACGAAATATATGCATATTAATACATTTATAAATTAACTCAATTCTATAATTAACTATTAAGAGCTGATTAATCTGCTTATAAGTACTGATTGTCCTAGAATTTAAATCTTCCTTCTTGCCTATTCTCAGATGATAAATGATGACGAAAAAAGTCGTTCGCTGCCAGCTTAATCGCCTTCTCGGGGGTTATTAGTAATATATTTACTGCAGAGCCTACACAGTTAATAAAAACAATTATATAAAAATTAAAAAGTTAAATTAATTTTATAATTTTCATACCTCTATACATTCCAAAAAATCCTTCTTTACTGTATGTTTTTTTGAAACAGTCTAACCTAAGATATTTAAAAAAAGTTATTTTTATTATCCCATTAAATTCAACATTATATATTAAATACGTAATAATAGTGTTCACAAAACAAGTAAATAATATTGATTTAAAATTGTCCTAGCAAAATCTTTTTAATATGCTATTAGGGTTTGGCAATTTCTCAAAGAGAGTGCATACTTAATCTGAACATTTTTCTGCTAAACGTTACAGCCAAAAATAATCTATGACAGCTTTTTTAAAAACATAATAAAATTTATAAAATTAACATGCCCCTATATATTTTAACATTGTGTTAAATGGCAGGACTTTGTTGCAGCCCTATACTCCAGAGATTCAAAGGACTATAACACGGCTGGCCATATCTTGTCAATAACAGGAGCCATACATTGCCTATCAAAAATACAAGGGTCTCATTATCTACTGAAACTGATTTTATACAGTGGATATATAATGGGAATACATATGTATAATGGATATAAATTAATAATAAAAATTAAATATACAAAAGCCACAACATGGGTATACAAGAACCACAGTTTGGTGGACACCCCTTGAGACTATTATTATATTATTATTGCACATTTTAACAATGTCTGTAATTCTTTTAACTTTGTTCTTTATATACAGGGGAGGAGCAAAAGTAGGTATACATGTGGCTTGTGAGCACTAAAATTGGCTTTACTTTATCGCTAGACTTATTACACCACCACAGGACATCAAATTAGACTTAGAAAAACACTATTTTATTTTTAGAATGCATTTTGGACATGGAGTCCTTCATCAGCTTTTTTCTACAAAAAATATTAGGAAGTTAACAATTTTTATAAAAAGACCATGATTGACAGAAATGAACAAAGAATGTGGACTTACATTTGACATGTGGATTTGATGCGATGAACATTAATTAAAAGACTAAGCATGCGATAAAAAAAATTTTCCATTAAAAACAGTAATGTTGATACAATAACATAATAGCAAACTGAGGTTCTGGTAAAACAGTAAAGTCGTAAAATTATACATTTTTAAAACAAAATGATGAGTAGATTCACAGTAACACGAACAGAGTAACAAGACGATTCAAAGGACATTCCAGGGTAACCGTCACCCTCACCCCTCTCCATTTTCACACCTCTCCCCTCCCCCCATGTCCCCTCTGGTCAAATATGCATACCACAATTTGTGTAATTTTTGACCAGAGTTGTTATTCATGATTTTCTCTTTGTTTTTTATTATTTTTAAATGTTCGTACCATCTTCTTTTATAGGTATTTTTTTTCCTTTTTAAGTATTTTGACAGTATCCTTTACAATCTGACAGCCTTCATTACTACAGTGGGCAGCTACAGCCGAGCTATCAATGTTGTGTGCTATGGCAGAGATATGTTCATTGAAACAGACCTTTAATTCCCTACTAGTTTCACCAATGTAAGATTTGGGTGTGGTACAGTCACATTCAAGTTTGTAAACAACGTTTTTTTGGTCCCATATGTTAGCATTTCTGTTAGGTACGTTTATTTGCTTATGTAAGCTGTTGCAATGTTCAGTTACCAAAATGTTTCAATTAATGAAAAATGGCAAAGTTTTACCATGTATCAAAATCGATCCATTAAATTTTGAGAACAAACTTGATTCTATAAGATTATACAAGATGTGCTAGCAACTGTTAAACAACACATGATTCATGCAATGTTACTTTCTTGCACAAGCTCATGAAATGATCTTATATCTCGAAAATGAAGCCATGAACCCCCATTTTTTTATTATATTTTTTATTTTGCATCGCAATTAATGGAAAATATCAAAGTTTAATCAAAATCAATTGAATGGATTTTAAGAACAAACACAGTTCTGTAAGCCTCATAGAAGGAGCTTCACTAACACTCTGCTTCAAAAACAGTTTTATATGAGGAAAAACACGAGGGAATGGTTCTCATCAGACCAATTTTAATGCACGACTGAATAATGAGTCTTGTGTTGATATAAGTGTAATTTCTTAATTCTGCAATTTTTTAAAATTGTCATAATTTAATATTAAACACCCTGTAACAAGGTTCACCTTAGAACAAATAAAGAATGTTAATAAAATAAAATAATTTAATATTAACATAAGAATTTTATTTTTAAAATAAGATCTAAAAAAGCTGTATATGGATAACAATATTTTGTTCATGCAAACAAATAACAAATATACTAAAGTAACTTATAATTTACAAATACATTACAATTATTATTACATAAGTTATTTATATAAAAATATTTTTTTGTTTTTAGTTTGAAGAGCAGTCAGATAAATGTTTGGTTCAAAATATGTAATTAACAAAAATAGTTTTTAAGAGTTATCTTCTTGCATTAAAATTAATCTAATGAGAACAAAACCCTCATTTTTTTTTATATAAAAGTACTTTGATCACTTATATTGTATAATATAGTTAATACTAATTCATTCAATATAATACATAGACAAAATATTTGGTTTTACATAATATACATTAACAAAAATCTTTATTGAAATAACGAAACTTTCAAAAAAACAATAATAAATAAATTAAGTGCTTTTTCTAATTAATATTTAACTTACATAGAGGAATACATTTTTTCTCCATTTGGTCCAACTTGTTGATTCTGCAACCTGGTTTTTACTAAATCTATAGGGAAAACACAGGTAACTCCAATGATTCCAGCAATTCCTCCATTAATTACCTTTGGAACTAAACTATAAAATAAAAGTAGAACAAAATATTTTAAATTATGAATACAATAATTTTATTATTATTATATTACAAAATGTAAAAATCTGATTTGTTATACATGATTCCATGTTAAAACAGAATAAAATTCAAAACAAGCACCGAAAAGATATAGGAATCAAAAATATGTATGAATTTACATCAGGCATCAGTCCTAATAAAACTTTTAATTGCAGGAGAGCTTTCAGACTTCTCTGCTCTCCTTTTCTATGATGAGAATATAGTTTACCTCTTTTGTCAAGTATCTTAGAATAATTACTTGACTCTAACCCAGCATTTCTCAAACTTTTTGTTCATGCAATTCAATATATTTCTTTGTAATGGTTCTGCAACCCAAATGTTTATGATATAAAATTTTTTAAAAACCCTGGTATACTAGAGTCACTGTATATTATGTAATGAAATAAAATTATTCATTATTGATAATAACTTCTACGTGTGAAATGTAACATCATGTATGTTTCTATTAAGATCAGTTGAAGCCAATTTCAATTTGTAACAAATTATTTACTTCAATTTTAGTTTTCATTATTCAAATTTAACTATTAAAAATGTAAGACTGACAATTATAAATAAAACACACTATTTCAAAATTATTCAGGAGTCAATTTTACTTTGAAAAATATTAAAAATTTTTTTAAAACTTAATGAACTCTTTTTTAAAATATATTTTTGTAAGATTTTGTCAATTTCATTTTGTATACACACACAAAAAAATTCTTTACAAATTATTTATTAATCCGCTTGTGCCAAAATTCATGTTTTTATTTTTTTGTAATCTATTGTTATGTATGATAATAAATTATGAATTTTTTCTTAACCTGCTCTTTGCAAAAGTTAAGGATTTCTTGGTTTTTGACAGAAATCATGTTTGCTTTTTTGGTTTGCTTTATAACTGGCTTTAATCACTTTCATAAATATCTGCACCAACTGAAACTTTCCTCCTCAGCCTTTTGCCACTTATGTGGATCTGGTGAGAAGACACTGCATTTCATTTGTGAGAGTGCAAGTCTTTGCTCAAAGATATTTGTTCATCTGAGTTCCACTTTGTTGAGCCATGATGACATTCCTCAGCTTTCCTTCAAAGGTTTACTATCATTTTTAAAAGAGATTAGACTTTTCAAGTAATCTCTCATGGGTACACAATGGATTTTTTAAGTCAAAATGCATTTAGTCTATTGACCCCACTTGCACATTAACAATAACAATGTATGAATTTTTCTCAGATTACAGAATTTTTCTTCAGATACCCTATCAGTTGGGGATCTGAGCTATGAAAAATTCATACATATTCCTATTATCTTATCAAGAGTAAAGTAAGATTAATATTAAAATCTTAATATGAGTAAAATATAATTATTCTAAATCAATTACACATTACACTGCAATCACGCAGGTTGTAAGATCTCACTCAACAGCATCAAAATTCTTAAAAGGAAAAAAATTATTATAAAAAGGAAACTATTTAAGCATTTGATAATTATTATAACCAACAAAAATAATAGAATGAATTTAAACACTAGCAACGCCATCAGTGAAATCTGGCAACAATTACTTCAAAAATAAAAAGAGCCCATTTGAACATGCTCTTCCTTATCCTCCCCCACAGTTTATTAATTCATTATGCAATTTGACAGTCAAGAGTGTTAACCTCCTATCTTGGATTATAGAAGCCTCCTGTAATGCAAGATCTTATGATCTTTCTTAATCATACAAAGATATGAAAATAAATATCTTACTTTGTAATCTTTCTTAATTCTGTTATATCATTAATTACTGTTCATTTTCTTTTTAATTTGAATATATTCTGTGTTTCTAGATTTTATTGTCAAAAGACTCAGGTTAAATCTAGACAAATGATAAATATTTGCAAAATGCATTTTCTTGTAACTAATATCAATAAAATTCAAATTCATTCCCATTGTCTCCAATGTTTCTTGTATAAGTCCATAAAAAAGCAATACTAAGCTTTGAATTTTGAAACTGACATTGAAATGAAGCAAATAAATAAAAAAAACTGAAAATATGTACATTCCAGAAAATGATGATATATTTCAGTAAGAGAGAGATTCAAAACACATGAAAAATAATGCAAAAAATTGGCTTAAATTGCAATTTTTCTAGTTACTGCCTTGGCCAACTTAGAACCCAGATTTCATTCAAATTGAGAGATTAAAAAAATGCTTGCAAGTGGAATACCATACACCATCATTAACATTCAATGATCTCTAGCATATATATAAATACACACACACAATTATATTGTATACTGGGACAGAGAAATCACTGAGATCAGCATTATATGTGTGTTTATTGCACATATAATGCCAATCTCAGTGATTTCTTTGTCATACTATAAAGTATTAGGCATGAATATCAATCCATTGATTATTTTTGAGTTATACTGTATATGCTTTTCTGCTCATTAATTAATTTAAGGCATTCAAGCAGCTGTAAATAAATTAAAAACTGCTTGCTTAATCAAAATTAGAGTGCAATCTGATAGAAAAAAATAACAGAGTAAGGAAAATAATGAAGTTAAAAAATATTTAAGAATTAAAAAAGTCATCATCAGGGCAAAATCTGTTTAGTTTACAAAGATAAATTAGAAAATGATGAAAAAAAAAAATTTATACTTTAGATGATTGTATAATAGCAAGAAAAATAGCAAGCAAAATATCTTAAAAATAAATCTTAACAAAGTATTAATAAAAGTTAATTATAGTAATACTCTGGTTTTATTTTTTCAGAACTCTGTTGCATCATTTATCATTTCTTTTTGTGTGGATCCATGCTCCATAACAACAATGCATGCATGTTATATCTCATATTTATTTCTGTATCCATATATATGTTTTAGGAGTTTTATCTCCTATTTGTGTGTACAAACAAGCATAATACTGATGAGTTCCTCATCAGTATGATACAATACTGATGAGTTCCTCATCAGTATGGTACCTGTTTGTACACATTTGTTTTACATTTTCTTAATTTTACATTAGTTTACAATGAATCTACTACTTGTTTACATTTATTTTGGTTTTAAACATTCATATACTTGGTTTTATTTTCAAAAGCTTTCACTTATGCCATTTTAGTGAGTGGAGTAACTTTGTCACTACCTGTTTTAAATTTCATTCAGACTGGGTGTGCTCTATGACTATTGGGAGGGTTTTCATATTATTAATTTCCAGAATGGTTTTTACTTCTAAAAAATATTTTTTATAAGATCTGTCAAGAAGACCTTTTCTTAAATCCTCTAAAAATATTTTTGTAAGAATTTTCCTAAAAAATTCTTTCTTACTGATGATCACATTTTTTGTTTCTTTAAGCTTATTAAAGAATATTAAAACTATTTAAGAATTCCTTTCCAGTTTGTTTTCCCACTTCCTTTGTACCCTTCACTGGCCCCATTGCCTTTTATACTACTTTTTGTTTTTTAGGTGGTACTACAGGTGTTTTCGTTACAAAACTTCTTTCCAGTACGAAATTATTTCAATGCCTTTATTAAAAGTTACTTCTTACCAGGTACTGTTCCAATATATATATACTAGAAACACACATAAAAACCTTTACATGACCAGTAAAAATATTTAATGAAAACCAACTAACGTTTTCGACTACCTTCCTCAGTCTTCTTCACGTTATAAATTCTGAGATTATTTATTTAGGTTTGTTTTTATTTTTTCAAATATTTGATATGTTGTCTTCTTCAAAGGTGAGAATTTTAATATTATTTTTATCTATTTTACAGTTTGTGGGTAGTAAATGATCATAGAATGGGGAATTAGGTCTATTGTATTTTAAATCTGCCTCATGTTCTTTATATATAACTACAGTTATAGTTTATTTTTGCCAAAACATGTACAGTGTATGGATATGGAAATAAAAGGCATGTGTTGTTATGGAACATTGAACCACACAAAAGAGACTACATTAATAGTTTTAATAAACAAATTACTTCTACATTCAAAGTAAAAATTGCTTGTAATAAGATGATAAAAATTAAACAAACTACAAATCAATAATATGCTATAGTCAAATTATTTCAAATTATATTTTAATGATATAATATTATAAATAACAACAGTGAAAATACAATAGAATCTGATTAATTTGAGATTAACAAATTATTGACTAATAGAACTCATTATTATTCCTTTTAAAATTCTTACTTACAAGGGGAACCCAGGATGTTGTCATCACTGATTTCGACAAAATTTTGTGGATGTGTAGTATTTACTTGTACTTAAACTGTACCAAAGCCATAGGACCCACTATTCAGGCATTCTTGAGAAAATCACAATTAAAGTTTTTCTAGAACTATTAATATGTATGCAGAAGTGCCATTTATCCATTCATGGAATGGTGTGAATAGTTAAGGAGTTGCATGAAGAGTGTTAATATGCAGGTTCGAATCATGTATGGAAGTTTTTTTGTTTACATTTATAATTTAATCTTATTGTTCTTAAATTTATTATGTACAATTTTTATGTCATTTTTAATTATTGAATTTTAAATTTATTATTCTTCATAAAATATCAGGAAATTCAAAAATTATTTTTCAACAATTTAAAGTTTTCAGCACATGCAATAAATACTTACAATTACTGTTTCACAAGAATATGACAATATGACAATATTTTGGGTGATATTTACCATAAAAACAGCTAAAACATAATGGTTTAGTGCACCATGCATAAATAATCATTGCTATTGTATTTGTACAATCTTTACATTTTGTTTGTCTTTGTTTTACATTTTCCACCCTGATAGGGGTGGAAAATAAAAACTTCATTAACATTTTTGAAAATATTTCTTTCACATGTTATTTGAGATGCAAACAATGCATATTTTAACATATCACAAAAAAATTCATGCACCCAACTGGTTGAGAATTAGAGAGTGCATTTTAATAGCATCTTTCATGATTTGCTATTTCTCTGTCGGTTTTAAGGCAATAGCT